ATTAAAACAAATAAATAAATAAATAAAGTTAAATAAAATAATTCTTTTAAAAATAATAACAAATGGAATTAAATAAATAATTCTTTAAAAATTTTTTTAAATTAAGTTAAAAAGAAAAAGACTTGAAGTGGGAGGTGGCCAGCAGGTGGTGTAGTGAGTGGTTAAGGTGCTAGATTCCCATGTGATCAACCAAGGTTCATGTCTTGGACCTGGGTGGCTTGAAACTCCCACCAGGCGCATGTGCATACATGCCAAAAATGCTGAGAAGATAATGGAGGAGAAGGGGTTGTGGCATGGCCATCCCCCTCTGGTGGGGAGGGTGATTTCTTGCTTTCTGTCTCTGTCTCTCCAAAGAGCACACACTCCCTATAGAAAAAAATCTCTGGGAAAAAAAATGTGTATGTGTGTATATATAATATATATATATAGATAGATAGATATAGATATAGATATATATCCCTGCCTATTTCTATTCCTCTGCCATTTCCCACCCTTCTCCCACTCTATCTCTGGTATCTACAGTTGATTTCCATTTTATATATACACACATACCACACACCAAAAAAAAACAAAAACAAAAACAAAAAACCGCCAACCCATGGGGCCAGCATGGTGGTAAAACAGTAGTGCTATGGGGTCGGTAGGTGGCGTGGTGGTTGGAAAGGCTGGACTCCACATGGCTGACTGCGGCTTGAATCCCAGACCTGGCAGCTTGCTTTCTCACTTTCCTTCTCTCTCTGTCTCTCTCTGGTCAACTTCAAAAATAATAATAATAATAATGACAATAAATAAAATTAAATAATTCTTTTAAGAAAAAAACAACTGTAGCACTGTACTCTGCAATACTGAACCCAGATGAGAACATCCTGAGTTTGTGTTCTGGTGTGCCCAGATACAGCTGATCAAGAGCAGCCGACCCCACTTCGTGATCACAGTTCAAATCCCCAGTCTGGTCATCCTGAAATGAGGCATGCACACACAAATGCCCACGATCCCATGGGTTGGAGACACGGGGGGAAGGGGATTGCAGCAAGATTGTTCCTGTGGAGGGGGTTCATTGCTCTCACTCTCACGTGCACACACGTGTGCTCTATCCTGAATAAAGAAAAAAAATTTTTTAATTCAAAAAGAAAGCTTCAATATTTTAAAAGTATATACATGGAGAAATTGCCAGAGAAGGTCTATATATGGCAAGTGAGCATAGAAGAAGGTGCTCATGTTCTAAGTCACTGGGCAAATGCAAATTAAACCTCCAGTACAGTTCTTTTCCACATCAATGAAAATAGCTACAAACAAACTGACCATCCCAAATGCTGAACGGAACTCTCATCCATTGTTGGTGGGAATGAAAAATGCTGTAAATACTTTGGAAAGCAATTTAACAGTTTCTTTTAAAGTAAAGCATACAGTTACTGTATGACCCAGCATTTGTTTGTTGGTTTTTTATTTTTTAATTTTTGGAGAGGTTTTTGCTATAGGGCACGTGTGCTCACCAGAAAGACAGAGAGAGACAGAAAGCGAGATATCACCCCCCCAAGGAGGGATGGCCACACCGCAACCCCTTCTCCTCCATTCTCCTCTTGGGATTTTTGGCGCGTGCACACATGTGCCTAGCGTGAGGTTAAGCCATGGGGTCTGGGACACAAACTGCAGTCGACTACATGGTATTGGCCCCAAAGAAATGAAAACTATGGTCATACAAAAATCTAAACATGGGCCAGCAAGTGGCATGGTGGTTAAGGGTGCTGGACTTCCACATGGCCATCCGCAGTTCGAGGACCTGGTGGCTTGCTTGCTCACTTTCCCTCTCTCTTTCTCTTGCTCTGTCCCTCTCTGGTCAAAGTAAAATAAATAAATAAATAAATAAATCCAGGGGGGATGGTCACGCCGCAATCCCTTCTCCTCCATTCTCCTCTCAGGATCTTGGGCACGCACGCACACGCGCCCGGCGTGAGTTTTAAGCCACCGGGTCCGGGACACGAACCGCGGTCGACTACGTGGGAGTCCAGCGACATAGCCATTACGCTAACTGCTGGTTCCCAATGAAATAATTCTTTAAAAACAAACAAAAAAATACCTACACACAACCAAAGCTGCAAACCAAGTCACTCTTCACCAAGGGAATGGCTAAATGAACTGTGGAACATCCTTATGATATAACTCAACAGGAAAAGGAATGAACATATTCTGCTAAGTGAAAGTCACAAGGCTATACTACGTTTCATTCCACTGATACTTTATTATGGAAAAGGCAAAACTATGAAGATAGGAAACAGATCATTTGGGGCAGGCTCTGTAGCTTAATGGTTAAAGCAGCCAGATCTGGGACCAGCAGATGGTATAACGGCTGTAACATGACCGACTATGGTTGAAGTCCCAGACCAGGCGGCTTCAAACTCACGCCGCACATGTGTGTAGATTTCTGTATGACCCCCAAACCCCAGGAGGAAAATGGAGAAGGGATAGTGGTATGGCCATCCCCTCGGGGAGTGATGTCTCACTTTCTGTCTCTGTCTCTCTGGTTGGGCGAACATGTCCCATAGCAAAAATCTGTCTTAAAAAAAAAAAGGAGCCAGATCCCACAGGGCCAACTGCAGTTTGATTCCTGCCCTCAACTTGAAAAACACGCCAGGCACACGTGTGTGCACCCAAATCTAGACAGGATGGAGAAATGGAATAGAAGGAGTTGTGGCAAGACTATCCCCCATTAGGG